GCAGTTTGGACCAATGCATGAAACGCTTGAACCGATCAGATTGAGTCCATATTGTTTTGCAGCTTCAGTATCATATATATATCCTGCGAGGAGTCCTGAGAAGAGGAATGCTCCAAGAGGATTTCCTAGTGACATGAAATTGTAAAAGATACCAAAATGCTTCAAACCAAAAAGCTCAGAGACAGTGGGGATCATGATGGAGAATTGAACACCATAGCATATTCCCAATAATGCAGTTGCAGCATATAATGTACCATCAATAGCTGATGCAAAAAGAAGGTACGTAATGCCCATGACAATTTGAGCGCACGTCATCCAAAGGGTGCGGGGAACTGTTTTTGACCTGCAAACAACAGAAATTTCTTATAATGTGGTGACTTAGGTAAGCAAATAAGAATGTAGAATAAAATGCTACTTTGGCACATATATACTCTAACCAATAATTATAAATTAATGGTCAGGAATACATGTATGCCCAAAAAAAGAATTCAAGAAAAAATTACTTTTCACAATTCATCATATCAAGAAGAATTTTCAAAAGAAATCTTTTAAAAGAAGTGAAATCTGTCTTGGTATGCCAACTATGTTCAATTTAGCGATAGGTGACAAACGTAGTGCTTACTTTCAATATAGTAGATATCATGACAGATGATTAACTCTGGAATAAACTGATTTATTTCACCATGTTTATGCCTCTGTCTTGAAGTTAAATTGCTGCATGCCTAATTTACTTTACGCTCAGATGCCTAGAAGCCAGCAACTAGTCTAAATTGATCAAAGCTCTAAACCATATGGAAAATGATGCATTAATTAAACGATTATTCATCAATTATTCATCACATATTTTCTCCTTCCTTATACATACCTGACAAAATGTTCTGAAACTGCACCCCCACCAAGACGGCCAATAAAGTTGCAAAAACTGAAAAGAGACAACAATATTGTCGTGTTCTCTACACCTTGTGCAATCCCTATCTGGGCCAGATTGTTGAGAACAGTCGCACCAGAACCAACACCAGCAAAGTAAACCAAGAAAAGAAGCCAGAAATCAGCTTTGATTACAGCTTCACCAAATTTGAAATCCTCCCCCCTTTTAGGCCTCCTCTTCTTCTTAACTGCCCCCTCACCCACAGCAAGAAGCATGGCCATCTCTGATGCATCATCACCTTCACGAAAGCTTCCCAGGTATGTTGTTGAGTCAGATGACTTTAACAGTGGTTCTCTTTTGTCTGCATTACCTTCTTCTTGAAGCATTTCATCTGAAGGTGCAATGGGTTGGTTAGGCATCCCCGGTTTGTTGATCCTTGTGGGACAAATAGTCATCTTTACAGGAATTGCAAGAGGAGCCATGAGAAGGACAACCATTACAATAAGAATGGCATAAGAAATTTCAGCACTAAATTGAAGCATATGATCTAATATTGTGGTTGTCAAAACATACAAGCCAAGGACCACACTAGCTACTTGGATAAAAAGAAAATGGCCATGCTCTGCAGGGTCTTCACCAGAAGTGGGAGTACAAGCCCTAACAAAGTACATCATGACAAAGCAAAGAACAGGGACACCAAATGAAAGAAACATCAAAAGGTTAGAAGAGGATTTTCGAAGTACAGTGCTGTAAATTTCTGTAAATACTGCAGCACTAAGCCCAGCATATCCCTTGAGAATGCCAGCGACTGTGCCTCGATTGACAGGGAAATTTCTCATATTTGTGACAAGCACCGCAGTGCTCAACCAAGCACTACTATTGGTAGCAACACAAAGTGCAAGCCATAACTGCAAAACCAAAGAAAATGAAAATAGCAATCATTAGGCAGTTGCTGATAGAAATTTACACAAGATAGCAGAATGTATACATCTAATCTTGAACTTTTACATATCCATAAACACTGGCAAAGATGCTATTTCTGTGCATACACTGATAAATAAAGTACATAGTAGGGTATACTTGATAAAATTTTTAAATCTTGAATAAAATGATTAAAATGGAACCGTACTGACTAAACCAGCTAAAAGAACTAGTTTTGAAATCTTAATTGAACTAATATTTTTAGTTGCATGCGTAGGTGAGAGCAAGCTACTAGTAAACTAATCAGGCAGACTCAATGCCCACTCTTATTTGACTTTAGTGCTATCAAATATGAGCTTTATATTAAATTTCTTTAGTGGAAATTCAAGCAAATTCAAGTGAGCCAATACTCACCCTAGCAGCTCAGTAGCCAAACACAGCAGTTAATCTTTTTCAAGATATGTCACATAAAATAGAAATATATGACTAATATCCGCATTTTATTTTATATTTCAATTGTATGCATTAGCTTGTGTTTAAGTATATTGCGAGTTCCTTTAGGCCCTTTCCATTTCTAGGAGAAAAATATGGCAAATACTCTAGGACTGGAAGGTCTAGAACCCTCAGCCATAGCAGTCCACATTATTATTATTTTGAACTAAAGAATCATGAGCCAATCAAAGCCAGAACACAACAAGGGATGAATAGAAAGCAAAATTCACAGGATTAATATCAGTTTAGCTTAATTTATAATTAGTGAACATAATTAGGGGCAGTTAATCACTAGAAAAGGATGATTTTACAGCCTTAGAAACAGGTTAAATTTTATGAGAACCTTAAATGTCTGGGTGGCTAAAAGTCAAGTTTATTTGCAGAATATGAAATAATATCATCACTAGTTAGCATGGCAAAATAATTCCCACTATCAAAGATGCTCAGTATATGAAAGTATGAATAATATTGATATTGAAAATTAAATTCGTCTATTATATTCATTTCGTTAGCCCATCAATTTAACTAACTATTGAACTTGATATAAGAGTAGAATCTTGTACTCTAATCTCAGGACCCTCTCTTTCTCCCCCTCACTTTTCATTAAGCCTTCACCCTATGCCTTCTTCATACCTGAGCCTTTGTGCAATGCCCACTAATCCTTATTGAGCAAGCACTTCCATTCTAGGTTCACATGTAAAAGCCATTAGACATTAGTCCTTTACCTCATCTCTCTGTTTCTGCACATAGAAAATGGGCTAGAAAAAAACTGAAAGGTGTGAATACGTTTCTCTAATTAAGGCCATTATACACTTCTTGAATGTATCATACAATCACTTTCATCAAGCTTCAACGAAATTTCCAACTAGTTTAAAGTATCAAGCAACGCCAGATAAAGCTCAACTTTCACCATGGAATTACTATAAGCACAATGTTTTAATAGGAAAAAGAAGAAATTTCCTAATATTTCAAAGCAACAAGTAAGGCCAGATCAATCCAACCTTACTAATTTTTATCAATCACTACAGGAGTACAGGTTAACAGCCGTAACAATAATAGTAAAAAAGTGAAAATTTTACAAGAGTACCATATCTTTGAAAGTCCAGAAAAGAAGCACATGATTGAATAAACAAAAATAGAAAAAAAAAAAAACATATAATTAACTTCAGAAATTAGCCTTGATTTACAGACAAAATTTAATGACTAGAAGCACTCAAATAAATTAAAATCTACAACAATTTGATCTAAAAGCATATAACTCGTATGCTATTAAAACCTAACTCCAAGTGCAGATGAATAACGACTTTGGTTGAAACCAATCCAATCACTCAAAAATTAAGAATCCATGATGGTAAGAAAACCCCTCCCCTAGTAAAAGAATCTGAAGCAATCAAAACAAAGAACCCCAGTAAAACAATAAACTCACCAGCCAATAAGGCATATACAGAACAGTTCGGCTAACAGCAAGCCAAAGAACACCATAACCCAAGAAGCAAGCAAAAGCTCCAATCGAGAGAACAATCCAAGGTGGGAACTTGTTAGAAGCAAAACCAGGAAGGAGCCCAACGTTTTCACCAATATCATTAGCAACACCAAGCATCGTCAGCTGATGTTGGTTAAACCCCAGAACAGATTTCAAGGAATGGGAATAGAGAGGGAAGTTGTACGCATTCCCAGATGCTATCTGCATCCAAACTGCCGCCCCAAGACCAAGCCATGGTGGCCTGGTCCCTGCTTTCAGGCAAGCCATTGATGAGTGCTATTTGGAAACTCCAACAGATTTGTGTTCTCACTTCTTTGTCTTGATGAGAAGTTAGTTTTAAAGGGACAAGAAAAGTAGGGAAGGGTGAAAGTCTTGTCTGAGAATGTGATGACACGGCATTTGGACAACTTTGCAGATCTGTTACATGTCATATTTCAATGAGAACTGGTGCTTGTGTCCATTTTTTTTCTTTTTTGTCCTAAAACTATGATTCAAAATAAGTGGTTAATTCTTTCCCCCAATCCGGAATCAAATGTAAATTTCTTTAGAGGAAAATAAAAGCAACAGTGAGGACAAGGAAATTTCATTATAACTTTTTTATATGCTTATCGATCAATTGCCATCGTACATTGATTAACCCTAGATATGCAATTTGCAATTGACAAAAATCGTATCGTGACTTTTAAATTGACATATTTTGTGACTTTTAAAAATCGTAAAGTTGAGGAAAATATGTGATGAAGGCGAAGTTTTGACAAGTGAAAGGTAAGGAAACCTCCTACACCTATAAACAGAGGAACGTGGCCCACTTGTAACACACTTATGTCACATATTATTTCTGCTTGTGACACAAAACGTTTTGGTGGGGGCCACTTTTTGCGAGATTAAAACTTATGCAAAAATCGAGATCATATCGGATCAAATCAGCTGAGTCTGAATCATTAGATGTTGTCGTTGCTTCTCTGAGCCATGTTGAAAAGCCTTTTATTAGTACTAGGCTTAGAAATTGAGGACTGAGGAGCAAGGGTTTTGAGACGACACAGCTAAAGATGGGACGGTGCTTGGAGATCAGTTCTGTTACTTCTGTAGGCGCCTTTTTTGGCGTGAAATGAAAGAAAGGAAGTGTGTTCTTTCTTTCTATTGCAAATTGAAGATAAATTCAGTTGCTTCTCGAATGCTTCAAAGCCTTTGAATCAACATTCTTAATTGTGATCTACTGGTCTGATTATCTCATCTTTAACAAAACTGCGCATCCAAAAGTTCTATCTGTTGAGGATGGCCATGGGCACCTGGCAGTGAGTGATTGATGGTAACTTTCGATTAAAATAATTGCAGTCAAACCATTTATAGAGCATAAAATGGGGAAATACGGAAGATTAACCAAGTTCCTTCAGTTTTACTTCACTTAGCCTTAAATTCATTACCAACGCCAATACTTATGGTGTCCAATGGAATACTTTCTTTATTAATTATTAAAAATAACATAACTTGCAATTGTGCCTTTTGTAATGTAGAATGAAAATTGTGTCTTACAAATAGGTGTATGTTAGGAGCATTTGATGATCAAAAAATATATAAATTTTTTTAAAAAAAATTTTCGATAGACAATTAAAGATATTTCTTTCATTTATATCGATCTAACATGTTAAATCGATTTAATATGCGCAACACCACGTCAATTCGACACTATTTTTATTATCTTTTGATAGTCCTATAAATATGAAGATTCAAACACTATTAAGATAGGTGAATCTTGCTCATTTTTCTCTTTTCTTACTTTTTTTTTATTTGAATCTTTTTTACTTGCGCATTGAAATGCAAATGCAGGGAACACACCCTGCCTTTGCCTTTAATCGCCCTTCTCTTTTGTCTTTCCAGGAAAGTCTTAAGGTCGAAGTTCGGTACCAACATTTGGTGAGCGAGTTGAGGGACTTTTTATTTCATTAGCCAAGCATAAAGCAATGTCGCCAAGGAAGAGAACCTTAAAAGAATGAGAGACAATTGTTTCGGCTAGAACAAAAACCCATCATAGTTCGTATTCCATCCAACCGACCCAATCACAGGGGGGCCCGACTATAAAACAATTTCAAGCCCTGACCGAACAAATACATGCTTTCAAGTAGATGGTACAAACCATAACTTCACCTCAAATTTCAAAATTGCTTGACTTAATCACTCTTGGTTGAAGAGTCGTTCTCAGATGACTGAGCTATAAAGAGGTGAAAGCCTTCTCGTCTTCCAGAGAAAAAGAGCACATAACCCCAACCACAATTCAACACAGGTTACGATCCAAAAATCTAAACAAACAAACCTTAAATCATAACCGAACAGAGATTTAGAAGCTCAAATGCAGGCAATGAAAAAAAATGCTAAAAACAAAAGTAATAGCTTTTGAAGATGAGCTCAAGTTTTTAGAGATCTCACCCTTTACTAAAGAAATTGATAGAGCTATGCCTCATAAAGAATTTAAAATGTCGGCTTTGGAAACCTATAATTGTACTTCTGACTCCTTCGATCATTTGAAGCTTTATAGAACTAAAATGATGATATAGGGGACTGACGGGGCTTTAATGTGCAAAAGCCTAGCTACTACACTAAAAGGCACAGCTCGATCTTGGTACAACAGCCTGAAACTGAGGTTAATCATGATGTTCAAGAAATTCAGCCACTCTTTTCTATCCAAGTTTATGAGTAGTTAAAGAGCAAAAAAGATGACTTTAAGTCTGATGTCAATCCACCAAGGATGGAATGAAACTCTTAAGAGCTATGTCATGTATTTTAATGTGATAACTCTACAGGTTAAAAACTTGGAATAGATGACCACTGTTGCCACTCTGACGAGTAAACTCAATAAAAAAAAGTACCATCTGAAACTGACATTGTCGTTAGAACCACCTAAAACTCTGATCGACATTCTACTGATAGCAAAGAAGTACATAAATACTGAAGCTATGATGAAAACTAACTAATGTGAGAGATGTTCATCTTCCCTCCTTAGCAGCCAAGGTGATAAAGGCTTATCCCCCTTCTTTGGTTGTAAGGCAAAGATTTCTACAATCTTCCCCCAAAAGAAAAATGATATAGGACTAGAAGTTCTAGTGGAGAAAAAAGGTATACTACACTGCATACCTCTCAAGAGAATATTTTAATGCAAATTAAAAAAAATCCCAACCTCATATGGCCTAAGCCATTGAGACATAATACAAGAAGGCATTCGACCAAAAGATGTGCTTTTTACAAAAAAATAAGTCATAACACTGAAAATTGTGTCAACCTAAAAAATAAGATTGAAGCTTTGATAAGACAAGATTGTTGAAAAATTTTGTGAGATAAAAAAGACAAGACCAACTTAGAATGAACTCCAAACAAGATCGAAGAGCGCTTATCTAGGGTAAAGAGGGAAGATTAGAACATGAAAAAAAAAAACCTGAAAAGATGAGTCGATCCAAGAATAGGGTTGAATTGATAATAACAAGTCAATTGCCAGGGTGATTAATGTGATCACTGAAGTAGTGCTACCTTAGCCAAGAGGAAGGTTAACCTAGGTATGGTTATGACAATAGACACCTAAAAAAAAAAAGACTAAAAAGATAAGTCGATCTCATTTAGCTCAAAAAATTTTGAAAGAATCCAACACTCATATGATAATACCATAGTGATCATAGCCTTAGTGTATAACTATATAGTCAAAAGAATTTTATTTGATACTAGAAGTTTGACCGACATTATATACTACGGTTGCATGAAAAAAATGAAAATTAGTGAAGATTAGTTGAAGTCGACCACCACAATATTTGTAGGGTTTAGGAATGAGCAAGTGCCAGTAAAAAGAACCATCAAACTTTCAATCTCCTTAAAGATTGAACCAAAAACTATTACCTCGGTTATAGGCTTTATGGTTGTAGACGTCCTATTAGTTTTTAACATGGATAGGGTCAACCTAGTCAGTATGTTATATGACTTGTAGGCTCAGCTCTTCATTTGAAAGTAAAATTTTTAACACCTAGAGGGCTAGAGAGGTACAAAAAAATCAGTCCATGGCACGATAATATTATGTCACAACAATGAATGGCAAAATTGAAAAGCAAATGTGTAATTCGACAGAAATTGAGGTCAAAAACAAAGAAAGATAACCACCAAAAATTAACAAAAAGCAAAAAGTCACCAATAAGAGCACAGAATGTAAAATTGACCTGACAGAAGCTCACTCTTAAGCAGCTCTGAGCTATTAAGCTCTAATAAAAAAAAACTTTTGATCTTTTTTTTTATTATTTTTTAAGGCAACACCAAAGACAACCAAGCTTTTAAGCCGACGTAAACAACCATATGTTATTTGGATAGAGCTAATATGTCAGTTAAAACACAATATGAAATGAATAATACACATCAATTTTACTACATACATATTCAACATGTTATTCATAGTTTACTAGTTATCACATCGGGATCTATTTTAGTAGGAAATGATCTAACATAATTGAACAAAAAGAGATAATTGATTAAAGATCGAACTTAAATGAAAATTGACCTCAGCTGATTGAAGACCTCGTAACAATTTCATTCTAGGATAACATCCCTTAAAAACACATGCAAATACGAGCTAAGCATTAACATAAATATTAGTTAATTCAACTCTTTAAAGATAATGTCGACCTATTTGTTTGGACATCATTCGATATGTTTGGTATTGATACTAAAATGATGGTTTATAGGCTACACACTAACCCAAAGGTAAGATTAGTTCGAAAAAAAAAAAAGAATTTTTACCTTGAAAGACAACAAGCTATCGATAAAAAGGTTAATAAATTATTACGAGCTAACTTTATTAGAGAGGTCTACTACTTTAAATGCTAACCAATGTGGTCTTGGTTAAAAACACAGTAGAAAATGGAGAATGTGTATTGACTTTACCAACCTAAATAAAGTTTGCCCAAAATATAACTTTTTTCCTCTTAGCATAGATTGGTTGGTGGATGATGTGCAAAGCATGGCCTCCTTAGCTTCATGAACACCTATTCTTGTTATAATCAAATCAAAATACTAAAAGATAATGAGGAAAATATAATTTTTATCACTAAAAAAGGCCTTTACTATTACAAAATAATGCCTTTTGAATTAAAACATGTAGGGGCAACCTACCAAAGGTTGGTAAACAAGGTGTTTAAAAATCAGATTGATCACAACATAAAGGTATAAGTGAATGACATGATAATTAAGAGCAAAAGTTTGACCAAGCATCTGAAAGACTTTAGAGAGACCTTCAACACTTTAAGAAAGTATGATATAAGGCTCAACCCAAGCAAATGTGCTTTCGATGTCACATTAAACAAGTTCTTCAATTACATTATCAACAAAAAAGAGGATAGAAATGAACTCAGAAAAAGTTCAGGTAATCCTATATATAAAAGCACTAACCTCAATAAAAAAAGTATAGAGGTTTACTTGTAAAATAATCACACTCAGTTGATTCATGTCTAGGTCGATAGAACGATGTTTGTCATTTTTCAAAATCCTTAAAAACGTCTCTAACTTCAGGTGAACTTCTTAATGCCAAAAAGCTTTTGAATGACTCAAAGAGTTTTTATCCTCTTTACCTATTCTATCCAAGTCAAGAGCCGGTAAGAT